CTTCTTCGAGTTTGGCAATTGCTCTTGCTTTTTGCGCATAATTCAAATGTATTCTAACCATTTTGGAAGAGTTTAATATACTTTTATTTTATTGTTGAACACTCGCGAAAGCATTGACGTTTTGAAATTTTTTGACTTTGACATTTATCAAATCCGTACGACACTGCAATTTTACAGTATTACAATATAAAAAGTAAGGTGTAAACTATCCCGTGACCGCAACTGTACCTATATTACGGTATATCGCAAGGTTACGGCAAGCGTCTCGATATTTTGCTTCACGTTAAATATTATTTCGAGTTCGTGCAAAAACATCATATCGAGCGATAAGAAGTTTTCACTTAAAAAAGTTTTCCATATGGTGCAGACATTTTTTTTTAGTCAAATACGCGATTTGTCAAAAAATATTAATTTTTTGTGAGTTAACGATATCCACAATTCATATTTTTTAAAAACCGCGCGTATGACTGAAAAAATGGAATATTTGATGAATTTATTTTAGGTTTTAGAACATGCAGAACTTTTTATAAAGAATACCTTTTTTTCATAAAACTAAAAATAAAGAAGTGTTCCATGTGGTGCCCACTAGGAGTTTGGTTGGGTAACAGCTAAAAAGCAATGTACTTTTTCGCTATATATTCTTATATTTTGTCAACCATGTGGTTCCAGAAAGGAAAAGTCACAGTTCCCCGCAATCATCATCCGCCGCTTCTCCAAAACCCAATGACACGAAACGATATCGCAAGTATAAGATTCATGGAAAATATAAGCAGCATCAATAGTTCGTTCGCTTTTGCAGCTATGGGAGCAAACCTAGCTACTCCTCTTGGTTACGGATCGTACTGCTTCCGAATCCACGGTCAGATTTACCATTTGACAGGAATGTCCCGTAGCACGATGACGGACAAAATCACTAGTTCATTATAAATTTGCAAGAATATAGACATGACAGTGAGCTATCTGATACTTTAGGTCATGGCATTTCAGGTATTATAGGAACTGAACATTTACTTTCTTAAAAAAACTTTACAATGTAAAGTAAAAACTTCCAGTGTAATTGGTATATGTTAAATAAAACATTATTAAAAATCCAAACGGATTACAATTGTTTGGAACGAACGTTTTAGGTCTTACCAGAACATTTTCAGTAAACTTGCTAAAGTGCTAAAGTACTTGCTAAATAACCCCATCACAGAACAGTGGTCATTTTTAGATTACATATTAAATGTTAAAAATTATAAATTGAAACTACATATTGTCGATCTTTATAAATAAACTTTTTATTCATCAAGCTAAGTATCAGTATTGAAAACCTTAGAAACTGTTCAAAATACAGCTCTATGAATAGCTACAGGTGCGTTTTGAACGACACCAGTTGACAGTTTACAATGATTAACAGGAGAACCACCCCTAAGATTACGATGCAAATACCTTTCTCTCTCATATGCTTCTAAAATAGCTAGTAATAAAGAACACTCTACTTATACCAATACGTTCACAGATCGATTTCAAGACACTTTCTCTACAACCAGATTAGATCCACCATTTCATGAAAGAGTTAGAAGAAACCTTCATGACGACCTACATCCTGAATTTCCTGAAATTCTCCCAACTAATTTCCTAACTTCTCCACCTTGGTTAATACCAATTCTCAAGGTTAATACTAACCTTAGTATAGATAAAAATCACTATTAAATATACACTGACGCATCCAATTCTTCAGACGGTGTTGGTGCAGCCATCCTCACACCCAATACATCCTTAAAATTTAAATTTAATCCCATTACTTCGTCATACACTGCAGGTTGTTTGCAATATTACAAGCACATATCCACATAAAAGAGTCGAAACAGTCCCTGTCTCTCGTAATAACCGATTCACTAAGCTCACTTCACTATCAAACGTTTATATACCAATAATCCAATTGCCTCACATATTCAATCAGAAATAGATTTTCTAAATAATAAGATCACTGTTGACTTGAGGAAATGAAGAAATAGATGAACTAGCCCGCTTAGCATCCTTCCGCCAGGACTCCATTCTTATTAATGAGGTTTCGTTAGATGACTTCAAGTCAGAAATAAAATATAAAGTAATTACTATTAACCTGGGAATAAGCCACAATTAAAGATAAAAATACGTTTATTGACGTTTCAATTTCCACTTCGGAAATCGTTCTCAAAATACAAACAGTAAATTAAACAAATTTTGTTTTTTTTTTGTTACATAGTGAAAAAATTCTTCTAATAATTTAATTTTATCTGACTCATTTATATTGACAATTCAGACATACATTATGCATTTTAAAGTAGACGACTTTAAAATGATATTGCCAATATTGTTGAGTTGCGCTCCTGGGACGACTTTACTTATAAGATAGTTCATTCGATTACATGAAATCAACTTCTTGAGAATATCCGTCAGAATTTACTATGGAATCACTAACAGGAGAATTTTACTGTCATCATGTCATGTGTTTGTCTTTTTAAAGACGAATTACATGCTATGATTTTTTTTCTGACGGATATTCTCAAGTTAAAGGTGATTTCATGTAATTGAATGAACTATCTTATAAGTAAAGTCGTCCCAGGAGCGCAACTCAACAATATTGGCAATATCATTTTAAAGTCGTCTACTTTAAAATGCATAATGTATGTCTGAATTGTCAATATAAATGAGTCAGATAAAATTAAATTATTAGAAGAATTTTTCACTATGTAACAAAAAAAAAACAAAACAAAATTTGTTTAATTGACTGTTTGTATTTTGAGAACGATTTCCGAAGTGGAAATTGAAACGTCAATAAACGTATTTTTATCTTTAATTGTGGCTTATTCCCAGGTTAATAGTAATTAATTTACAATGCCACAAGAAAATAGCTTCAGAACAAAATATAAAGTGTTAAGTGCGTGGCAAAATAAGTGGAGTGTATCACAAAATAAATTCAAGGAAATCAAATAATTAGAGAAACCGTGGCTCCAACCCACGTTTGCAACTAGGATACAGAACTTTACACATAAACATCTCTTTACGCGAACTGTGACGTCAATGTGTGAAAATTGTCAAGTAACACTCTCCGTGAAGCATATACTAACTCGTGGGATTATGCCTGGACACCTCTAAGGCCTCATCCTTTCTAATAACGGGTGGAAAAGATATCTATTTGTAAAGACCTCCAACAATGTGATTTTAAATAGGTAAAGAAATAATAAATAAGACTTACCCACAATCAATTTAATTTAACTATCAGACGACCGGTTTCGCTTTCTACAATATGCAAAGCATCCTCAGGTCGCGATACAAAGTTAAACAAATGCTGAAATAATAAAAACCCATATTAGGGTGTTGTCTAATAACGATAAACAAAGTAGGTGTTGTAAATTACAATAATTATGCCAATATTACATGTCTGTGGTTTTATTTAAATGAGTAAGTTGAATAAAAGGTATAAAAAATTTTATGGTACCATTCAACAATATAAAGTAGTTTCAACCATGTTCTACCATCCATCTATTAATAGAGTACCGGCATGTAAGTAATGTTTATTTTATTTATTTATTTGCTCATTTATTAATTTATTACAATCGAAGAGACTATTTTATAACAATTTGTGGGCCGTACCTTGTCTGTTTAAACTTTTAAAAATTTTATACCTTTTATTCAACTTACTCATTTAAATAAAACCACAGACATGTAATATTGGCATAATTATTGTAATTTACAATACCTACTTTGTTTATCGTTATTAGACAACACCCTAATATGGGTTTTTATTATTTCAGCATTTGTTTAACTTTGTATCGAGACCTGAGGATGCTTTGCATATTGTAGAAAGCGAAACCGGTCGACTATAAAATTTTTTATACCTTTTATTCAACTTACTCATTTAAATAAAACCACAGACATGTAATATTGGCATAATTATTGTAATTTACAACACCTACTTTGTTTATCGTTATTAGACAACACCCTAATATGGGTTTTTATTATTTCAGCATTTGTTTAACTTTGTATCGAGACCTGAGGATGCTTTGCATATTGTAGAAAGCGAAACCGGTCGTCTGATAGCTAAATTAAATTGATTGTGAGTAAGTCTTATTTATTATTTCTTTACCTATTTGAAATGGACTCACACAAGCAACACATTCATAATGTGATTTTACTAGGCAATCGCAGTTCGATACGATTGCCATAGGAGTCCTGACTTCCTTTCGAGATTATTGGTTTATGGCGGAATTAATCCTGGCCAGGAGATGATATTTAGATAGACTAACACGAGCCATTATCACACTTTCATAGCAGGGTGTTGTAACTGTTGTATAGCAGTTTCCAAGCTGCAATCTATTGCTCCGCTTGAAGATTCATCTTGTCGGTTAGACGGGACCGTGATATATATTGAAAAATAAAGCAACTTAAAAACGAACGAGGAAGTATCTAAAGAAAACTAATAGTGTCACAGTCAAAGAAACATCAGTACATTGTTTTATATTTTTTAAATATGTATCTCTTTGTACAATATTGGTTTTAGTATGTAGTGTCACAAGTTTTAGTAATTCTTATTATGTAAATAAAAATTACAAAAATAATATTGTAATACCTTTGGATTCCAAATTTGTTTCATTTTTGTAAAAAAAATAGCAAACAAAAGGTAGAATTAAAAGAAATTAATTCAATTATTCAGATTCAAACATTTTGAAATTTATAGACAATGTATAAATCATGAAGAGAAAATAGCTGCAATATGTATTGAAAAAAGAAAACGAAAATTGCAGCTGGTTTTTATGGCCTCTGACTAGCAAAAACATTCCTAAAACGACAAGTTTCAGAATTACCGTCAGTGGATGTTATTGCTTATCCGACTATGGAGTAAAATTTCACGATTACAAAAACTACCTGTTTTACCTAAAAATTAAATTGGTTCAGACGGTTCTCCTACAAAGACGCATATTAGATATTTACTTTAAGATAACGACCTCTAGATAATAAAAGTAAGTACATACCTTTGCTAGTCCGAGTGCTACGCCTCAACACTGCACCGCTGCGTGTGAGGCGAGAGGGCTCTTGGACGTCCCTGGTGGTGGGCTGACTGCTGCTCGTCCCCAGCGCTACAAAATCTCTTTTTAAACGAACTGGTAAAACTTTCTTTGGTAAATTGATCGTACTGCTACTTTCAACTACCGAAGCGGAGATAGAGCTGTTCGATAGTATCTTGCTGTGACTTCTTAAGGGGTATTTGTGAACCTAAAAATTGAAAATTAAAGTGAAATCATTTTCTCCAATCAAACATAAAAATATTTGAATGTATTATACATGAATGTATCCTCATCTCGTATAATCTATTGTTTATAAAAAAAAACATGAATTTATAATGGAAAATGTATACAGTGTGTCAATTTCAAACAATTTTATACAGTGTGTAGAATTAGAATTCTACTCTAATAAGCAATACCAGCTGAATCTTATTAAATTTTTAAAACTAAAGATGACTTTATTTTATGGAATAAAGTCCAATTGTCTGAAAATGATCAGTATGTGTTTATATTTCTATAATTATTTTAGTTGCGTAAAATATTCGGGACTACGACTTGGAACATAATCAAGTAAACGACCATCAAAAACTAGGTAAGCCATCAGTAATTCCGGCAAGATGAAAGCTCAAGAAGACTTATCGGAGGGGCAATCAAAAATCATTCACCAAAAGATTGCAACTTCTTCTTTCAAAGAACACCTGACAACAAACGGCATCTCTTGACAATGGGAAAGCGCATCAAGCAATTCGACAGATGAAAGAGGGACCGCGATAAATTTGTGAAGTTATACTTCTATACGCGCGCTCGACGTTGGAAATTTGTACGGAGTGAATCTGTGAAACCATTACATATGTAAGATGATGAGGATATATATATATAAATATATATATATATATATATATATATATATATATATATGGCAAATGTTTTACGTGTTTGGTTCATACGCTAGTGTTTGTGAGTTCGAATCCCAATATAAATTTCCTTTTTTAGTTTTGATATATTTAAAAACCTCACGTTAATCTTATTAAATATATGTAATATACGCAAAAATGCTAAAGTTTAAAATAAAATGAAAATTTACAACATAATCCGAGTTGTTGGTTTTTTATTTTTATCTTCGTAAAGTAAATTATGTATATTGGCAGTTCTAAATACTTACGAATATTGCATTTTAATTTATATTTTATTATTATATTGAATTATGTTGCAGTGTATTGTATAGTAATTTTTATATTAATATCAAAATAAACAATGAATTTTACTGCAGAGTATGTGTAATTTTTTTTTGCTTTTAACTCTTTATATATATATATATATATATATATATATATATATATATATATATATATATATATATATGAAAATAAAAATATATATTTTTCATTAAAATATTGATACAATCCCTCATTTACTATACTCCTATTACAGGTCAAATGTTTATATACAGCAAACGATGCACCATATACCTATATACCTAATTATTTTTCTTTTTCTGCTCTCTCTTACCTATAGCATTAAATATGTAATGATTGTGCAGATTGACTCCCATATAAATTTGTAACGGCGAACGCGTGTATAGAAGTATAACTTCTACCGGCAGTCCCACGACTGCCACACCCGTTTTTTTTTGTTTCATAACGATTCTCAACAAAATATTATGATTTTTGGTATTCATTTACGTTACTTGGCGACAGTAGAAACATATTACATGAATGCTACATTTCAAAAAGTTCCAAAATTTTTCTTGCAATTATTTATCATCAAGACTTGTGGCTGATTTTGAAATTTCGATCCACAAGGCCGTAATTGTCGTTTGGCCATCTGCGAAGCGAATTAGGTGTTTATTTCACTTGATTCAAAGTTGGTTTCTCAAAATCCAAAAACTTGGTTTGGTAACCACTTACAAGAGGGGAGAATCCAACGACAATTTCGCGACTTCATGCGGATATCCCTAACCTGCCTTCATTTATGAAAATGACCGATTATATGGTAGAGAACTACATAAGTAACGAGTCTCTCTTCCCTCTAACTGTTTGGGCATTCCAGTCTAGCCATATACATTTCACCACAAATCCATACGAATAATTTCCTTCCAATCTATTTTTACAATTGTTTTTACCATTCTCATTCCAATATCCTCACTTTTGTATCTACGCTTCTACAGTACCAAACAATGGTGTACATAAAACCACCGAGTTTACATGTACCTGTCCGTACATTCACTTGGAAAGTCAGACAGGCTGAAGACGTCAAGAACTGAGTAGGAACGAAATCTCCGATTACGAATTTGTGTCATAAAGATATCATAAAAACTTGTAAAAGTAAATTATACTGCAAATAAAATGTTTCTTTTTTAAAATTCTAAACTCATTATTATTATGAAATTCAAATCCCATTTTTTTCAATTTCTCACCTTAAAAAATAAGTAAAGTTGTTTACTGATTCTCAGTACATACGAGGGTGGATTGATATAAAACTAGCCTTTGATAGAAAAAACAAGTTTTTTGGAACTAAATACATTTATATCTCAACATAGTCCCCTTTTAGCTCGATACACTTATTAAGACGATGTTTCAATTTTTTTTATCCCATCCGAGTAGTACTTTTGCTCGAGCTCTTCACAGTAGGCAGAAGTTTCAGCAACGACTTCCTCATTTGTTGCGAAACGGCGTCCTCCGAGCCATTTTTTTAGGTTTGGAAACAGGAAAAAATCGCTGGCGGCAAGACCTGGGAACACGGTGGGTGTTCCACCAATTCATGTAATTTTGCCTTCGCGACGGTCGATCGGTGAGTCGGTCCATGGTCTTGGTGAAAGAGCACTTTTTAGCGTTCCAAACCGGGGCGTTTTCGACACAATTCGGCATCGAATCTATCCAATAATGCTGCGTAGTACTCACCATTGATTGTTTTTCCTTTTTCCAAGTAGTCGATGTGGATGATGCCCTTCGCATCTCAGAAAACAGTCGCCATCACTCTGCCGGCCGAATGTGCACTCTTTGCCTTCTTCGGCGGCCCTTCGACGCGTTTGCGCCTCTGTTTCGACTGTTCTTTGGTTTCCGGTGTATAATAATGCACCCAGGTTTCATCAACGGTGATAAATCGGTGAAAAAAATCCTTCTGATCACACTGTATCATCGCCAAAAGAGTCTCCGAAGTGGTCACACGTTTTTGCATTTGATCGATCGTCAGCAACCGCGGCACCCATCACGCGGATAGCTTTTTCATGTCCAAATAATGGTGAATGATGTTGTGTACGTGTTCGTAGGAAATGTTTAGGACCTCTATTAACTTGCGGAGCTTAATTCGACGATCTGCCATAATCATGTCATGGACTTTGTTGATCATTTCCGGCGCGGTGACTTTATTTGGCCTCCCGGGATGCTCATCATCAAAAACACTCGTACGACCACGAACAAATTTAGCTTTAAGAAATTTTTCTATTGCTAACGAATGTGCAATCTTACCATAAACTTCGTCCAGGTCGGCTTTGATTTGCACATTCGTTTTACTCTTTTTGTGGAGGAACTTAATTACCGAACGATACTCGACTTTTTCCATTTCTCCGAAAACACAAAATATGCTTGCTTTTGACGGCTGTAAAAACCTAACTAATTGTTTTTAAAACTTTTGACAGACGTCATGTCATAAATGGCAAATGTCAACACCGAAACCACTTGGGTCTCAAGAAGCGCCATCTATCACAGGCTAGTTTAATATCAATCTATCCTCGTACATATAGTTTTCTTCATTTTCATATTGGCGAACAATTTTAAATAGTTCCATGTTTCAAGTTTTAAGACATTTTAATTCTTAATGTTTTTGCTGTTTTCACAGGATGTGTGTTTCACCCAGTAGGCTTTGATCGTTTATAAAAGCTAGTAAACTGTACTTAACCATTTTGATGCATTCTGCCATAATAAATAGATTTCTAATTACCTCAAAATTAAAAATTCCTATCAATGATGCCATGAACTATAAAACTATAAAGCTTTGCGCGTGTAGAAAATTAAGTTTCCTTCGCCTTCTCTGCAATAATGGCACCATGGACGTAACGTCCATGAATGGCACACTCAAGTTCTATTAGCTCAAGTAGCTTTTCCTTTATATTTTAAATTTACCAAATATTCAAAATCGCTTATTATTAAAAAAAAAAAACAAATAACGCCAACATTGGCATAGTTGTGGATTATATTAGATATAAACGGAAATAGCACATGCTCACAAATATTTTTATTATAAAGTTCACTATCGAAAACCTACGGAACTGAATATTTTAGATTTCAAAACCTTTTATATAGGCAGATACATCTAACAGGCACCACCGTGAGGCACCCGAAATTAATATCTATTTTAAAGCAATTTACTTAAAACATTTTCTGAATTTAAATAATCACATAAAGGAGTAGTGTAACAGGAAACAAGCAATCGTCCGCATTACAAACCAGCGCCCTACGGCAAAATTCTGGTGATGAGTTTGTCTATCTCCAGAGGATGCCGGTGATCACTTTACTATATCTCGGAGTATTTTATTAAAAAAGACAAAGCAAAATCAGCTGTAATTAAACTATTTATCATGAGCTATCTCTCAATAGAAAAACACCCTTTTAGACACTTCATAAACCTGTACAAGATTTTTACGTGAAACAGCTGATTTTTTCACCAATAGACGGGTATAAGGATGTTTTATATTGCTATTTTATATAGAAAGATATTTCAGAAAGCTTTGGAAGGCACCTCGGATGGTATAATTATAAACGGGCAATGTATAAATAACCTGCAATATGCTGATGACTCTGTCATACTGGCAGATAATGCTGAAGCCCTGCAACGCTTAATGGACCGAGAAACGACAGCCTGTAGAGAATTTGGAATGAAATTGAATACAAAGAAGACAAAAACGATGGTCATCAGCAAGCCCCAAAATAGAAGGGTGAAGGTCAATGTCGACGGAACAGATCTGGAAAGAGTAACAAGAACAACGTACCTTGGAAGTAATCTTGATGTAACTTGGGACCACTCACTAGAGATAAGAATACGCCTGGAAAAGGCACGTACAATGTTTTACAAAATGCAAAAAGTTCTATGCAACCGCCAGCTGGGCATCTCATTGAGAACTAGAATACTTATGTGCTATGTTTTCTCCACCTTGCTCTATAGTGTTGAAGCCTGGACAATGACAGAAGCAACACAAAAAAGAATCCAAGCATTCGAACTCTGGTGTTACCGTAAAATGCTCAGAATATCCAACATGAGCCATACGACAAATGCAGATGTCTTGCGGAGAATGAATAAGGAAAGAGAGCTTATGCTTATAATAAAAGAACGGAAAACAATATTTTGGTCACATCATAAGAAATTAAAAGTATGAACTGCTCCAACTTATAATCGAAGGCAAAGCCAATAGCAAAAAAGGACCAGGAAGAAGACGCAACTCTTGGCTTAAAAACCTACGGCAATGGACAAACATGACCTCCATAGAACTATTCAGGGCTGCTACAAATAAGATTAAATGGGCAAATGTAATGGCCAATGTCCTTAAGGATAAGGTACCGTAAGAAGAATATTTTATATAGCTTAGAAATAAGTACAGAAATATTAAATATACGATAGTTACATGACTAGAATGAAATGTTAATTTAAAATATACTTACTTGTGGATAAGTTAGATTTGCAGATGAAGTACTAGCTCCTAGGGAGTCTTCGACTGTGGTGTTATTCAGTTTAATAAGAATTTGTCCCCTTCTATCACTCTTTCTAGTTTTCTCCTTTTTGTCTCGTAGATGCAGGTCTAAGTTAATGAACTTAAAGGTATTACTTTTATCTTCGGTTGGTCTATCTCTCGAACTTATTGAAGTTGACGAACTCTTTCTGTGCTTCCTTGAATGTCGGTTAACGTCAGCAGATATATTACTTAGTGAACTAGATGAGTCTGTGTTGTTGTTTCTTACACTATATTCTAAATGATCTTGTCTATGGTTAATATCTAAACTATACCTAGAATTTTTCTTAACCTTCGGTTCAATCTCTGTACCGAGTTGTTCGGAATCAGTTTTATTGTGTTTCTTTGAAGATTTGGAATTTTGCGTTGATGAGTGTTTATGGGTAGACGAAGAAGTAGAGGGAATTTCTCCGTGAGACTTCGTTTTTGATAGGTGGGGGTCTGGTTTGTCTGATTTCTTATTTTGAGAATTGCCAGATTTGGAAGTTTTAACCTAGAAAATATTACAACGTTAATTTTAATAGTAGTAGTAGTGTATAGAGAGTATAATACAAAATTCCCACAAACTTAAAACATACATTTAAATTAAATTTAAAATCAGAAAGAGGAACTAAAAAGTTATCATTTGGAACATATAACAATACTATACTTATAGGAAAATACGTTTTTCCGTGTGTTTCAAAAATAGCATAATCGGTCGATGATTCGATTTTTGTGTTTGCAAGGGAAATCGCCCAGCGAAATCAAAGTCAACGTGGTCGAGCGTTGGTTTTTATTGAGCCACGCCCTCCATGTGCCCCGAAATCGGCTACCATGGAGGAATACGTGATAAAAATTCACGATCTCATGAAGTGAGACCACTTCAAATCAGTGTTTGACTCTATATAAGCGTAATCCGAAGGAGTTTCTACGTCGTTTCTTAACCATTGACGAAATATGAATCCATTCGTACACACCAGGGACAAGAAACAGTCGAAACAGTGGCGGCATCCGACGAAAGTGTCCGAAGGAGGCGAATACTGTCCTATCGACCGGAACGGTGATGGGATTTTCTGGGATTCACAAGGGAAGACCTACGTCGACTACCTAGATAATGACAAAACTGACATAGGGTTCCACTACGTCGAATCATTGGTCCGATTCGACGCAGAGTTGCAGAAAAAAACAACCCCATTTAGCGAAGAAAAAAGTGATCTCTGTCGTTGGCATGGCGAAATTGGTTAAATCGAGCAACGAACTGTTGCGCCATCCACCATATTCTCTAGATTTGGCCCCATGTGACTTCTTTTTGTTTTCAAACTTGAAAAAGGCACTCGCCGGGCAGAAATTTAAGTCGAAACAAGACGTCATCGCCGCCATGGAGCCCTACTTTGCAGACGTCGAGTGTATCGAGCTAAAAGGTTTTCTTTTGTAGGCTAAGTACTTATCGGACCGCCGTATTATATTACAGATCCCTATACTACGTTTTGATTTGCGTAGGTAAATTTTAAGGAGAGTTCACCCATATGCGAGGTGATTATAGGGGGAAACCCGGGGGTAAAAGTGGTACATTTTTTTGCAGATTTTTTGGGTTCCCAAAATTAATACGCTCAGCAAAATTCAGCTTGTTCGTATGCTTTTTAGAGATTCAGTGGCATTTTCGTCTCAGACGACTGGAGTAATATGGTATTCATTGATCTTGAAAAAGTATATGATCGAGTTTCACCAGAGATTCTATGGTAGGCTTACAACAAAAAAAGAGGAGGAAAAATTAATTTGTTAGTAATAAAGAGTGAAAATGGGCTAGGATCCCGGACTAGAACTGATTTAAACTTCAAGAATTAGGCGAGGAAGACCAAAGAAGACTGAGGGAAATTTTTAGACATGACAGGTCGATTGATATTAGTATGATCTATAACAGAAACTAGGACAGGATCCCGGACTAGAACTGCTTCAAACTTCACGAACTAGGCGAGGAAGACCAAATAAGACCTGGGGGAAACTTTTAGACATGACAGGTCGATTGATAGTATGATCTAAAACTTATGGAGAAATCTAATTAGGGAAGCCTACCCCACATAGAGATAATGGCAAAGAGAATGATTAAGTAAATTATTTATAATTTGACACACAAAAGTGAAATTGTAAATTTCAAGCATTGCAGTACGCCTGCCGAGCGGACTTGGTGCAGGAACAACACCAATAAACAATGTAAGAAGCTGTTTTAATCAAATAGCTACCAGATCTCGTAACTTAGAAATCTTAACACAGCGTTGGTACGATGGGGTATGGGATACTCCAGTTTAACTTATCAAGACACACCTTACAATTTAATAACTTCAATGGAACCAACATTCAATTTCTAATATCAAATTAATTAATAATAAAATAATTTAAATTTGTGCGAAATTTCCCCCCGATCGATTAAATAGTTTAAAAGTTATTTAATGTATTTATTTCTGAGGCTAAATATTTAAACTATTGAACTTGCTCTATTAATGATGCTAGACACATTTAGCAAATTTCATAGGATTATTTAAGACTTATATCTCAGAAGTTAAATACTTATTACTTTTTCATCAAAACTATTTACAAAAGAAACTTTTGAAAAAGGGGTATGTTTTTTACTTATAAACACTTGTAATAACTTCTATATTTTTCAAGCTACAGACTTGTACGTACAACCACTGCATAGCTGGTAAAAAAAACTCAAATTAAAAAAAAAACCGTCTAAAAAAAAGACTATTTAAAAAAAATCATATATCCATTGTTTATAAACATTAAAAGTAAAATTTGCACAAATTTTTAAAAACTTAGAACCCTTCGAAACGAAGGTACTTTCGAAAGATCGACATAGGAAAGTGGAGGGGATAACTGTTTCAGCTCCGGTTTTTTTCGAGATTGCAACTTCAAATTGAAACACGTAGGAAAAATTTACATTGTCTCGGCTTCCATTGTAGCTAGAAACTTTTTTTTTAATCTGGGGTAGCTCGTCGAAATATAAATAACTACATAGTTTTCACTGGACGGGAAACAGAAACCTCGGAAAAAGTGAACGGAGAAATTCACTGTAAAACCTTACTTTTTTTTTAAATTTTGCTGGAATAGTCTGTTGCAGTATTAATAATGATGACATAATTTTCACTCCCCTGAAAATCTCGGAAAATACCGGAAAATCAATATAAATTTTTTTCATTTTATATTAATGATGTAATAATACTTATATATTTTATTCAGGTAACTTTTTACACATTATATTCCTTATATTAATTATAATTATGTTGACTTTCAGGAATTTCCGTGATTTCCCAGGGGACGCGGGTTAAAACTATGTCATCATTATTAATACTGTGACATACTATTCCAGGCAAATTAAAAAAAAAGTTTTTGCGGTGAATTTCAAAAGGACTCAATTTTTCCGAGGTTTCTCATATTTCCCGACCAGTGAAAACTATGTAGTTATTCATATTTCGACGAGCTACCCCAGATTAAAAGATTTAGCTTTCATTGCAGCTAAAAGCCTTACCCCAGGCTTTTAGCTGCAATGAAAGCCGATATAATGTAAATTTTTCCTGCGTGTTTCAATTTGAAGTTCCGAGCTCGATAAAAAACGAGCTGAAACAGTTAACCCCTCCACTTTCCCATGTCGATTTTTCGAAAGTACCTTCGTTCGAAGGGCTGTTTTCGAAAAATTTGATGAATTTTCTAGGTATAAGTTTCAATATAAAGTTTGGATTTTCATTCAAAATTGTTTATAAACAATGGAGATATGATTTTTTAAAAATAGTCCTTAACTTCGTTCCTATTGGTCTTAGTAGGTTTTTTTAATGTGAGTTTTTTTACAAGCTATCCAATGGTTGTACGTAAAAGTCTGTAGCTTGAAAAATATAGAAGTCATTACAATTGTTTATAAGTAAAAAACATACCCCTTTTTCAAACGTTTATTTTGTAAATAATTTCGATGAAACGCAATATGCATTAACTTCTGTGATAGTTTAAATCTTCTATGAGAAGAATTCTATGAAATTTGCTAAATGGTTCTAGTATCATTAATAGAACAAGTTTAAATATTTAGCCTTAGGGATAAATAAATTAAATAACTTTTTAAAAAACGGGAAAATAAAGATATTCTTGATATAAAAAATGATATAAATATTGTTTATGTAAAATATAAGGCAAAAAATCAAATTGTGACCATAAATTATTGTTAAAAAAAAACGCAAGGTAAAAATACGAGTACTTTTTCATCTATTCGTCATCTAGTAACCCCCACCTATGTCTTAAAAGGTTCAGATATCTGCGGAAAATTGTTCGACCTTTTTTCTTAACCAGACTCTGCTACTATACAATTATTATATACTCATAGTCAAACAAGAAGTCAGGAAACTTCTCTTCGGTAGCGAATTAGATAAACTGCGAATCTAAGCTCAGCTATTGGACGATGTTAGGAATAACCTTTTATTCCGAAAATACAGTGTAACCTTGAAGAACTTGAACTTTTGAACTCTTTACGTAAAGGAAAGACGTTAATATAAAAATAGACAATTGAATTTCTTAACAATTCGAACGCTACCATTCTCCTACACGTATTTCGAGGTTTCACTTCTCGTCAGGAAGACTTGTGGTAGACAATTCGAATAGAAATAAAATGCTGTATCTATATGGCCGTTATTTTAACATAACATGTCTGTGTTCATTACTAGCGATCTCTATAGCAAGTTTACTGAAAGCTATTGGTCAATGTTAGGAATAATCTTTTTTTTTTAACAATACATCAACAGTTTACCCTTGCAAATAACCACCTTTTGCACTATTTGTGCAGATGAAATAAACCTCGAAACAGGTGTAGGAGAATGCGCAATGGGAAAGTTCTAATCGAAAATTTAGTCACTGTTGAACATTAGTTTGATATATCCATAATTATACCCTGCTACTATGCTACAAGAGTTTTCTGTAAATAAATCTACACTTTCTAGAGGAGAAATATTCTAGATTTCGCTGTAAATCACTCCACTCCAAATGTATGTCGAAATAATAGACAAGATGGAGTAGATATCAGATACAAGAGTTTGTCAACATATATTTTTGTCGCAATTTTTTTTTTAACAGGTGAAGTGAGTTTTGGAAGAAATGATTTGTTACAAGCAGGGAGAGAACAATTTAAAATGTCAATGAGTAGAAGTGCTTGTAATGTAAATCACTCTGTTTATCGATGTTTATTATTATATAATTTGTCACTTTGTACTTGGAAATAAATAACAATAGATCTAAAACTTTTGTGTTTTCGTCATATACTTGGACCCATATTACTTACATTCTCAAAATTTAAATTTAATAATACGGACATTTGTAACATAAAGCTAGGTTCGTTCTAAGAAAATTATATGATATTTTGAATACAAAATATCGAATACTACAGAATATCATGCAAGGCAAAATATAACAAAATCGTGACAAATATTATTAATAATATCTAAAAATAGCAGTGTTGTTGGTAAAACACGATATGACTTTTTCTGAAAGCTACCAACATAGTAACTGCACCCCATAAAAGCAAAACCTTGTTTAAAAATATGAGATATGTTTACTTACCTTATGTGAAATTCTGGTAGAACTGTGGGTACTTTTGTCGGTAGGAATCTTGTCGTCTTGAGATGAAGTCCGGAGGCGCTTAGCCTCAGAACGTGGCTGCGTTGGCAGCACACGCTTGCGGCGGCTAGTGCTGGCGGCAGCGAGTGTGTTAGCTGGATCTGCCATAGACGAAGCGTTCTAAGCTCCCCGACTTACTAGCGACACTCATTCCCTTTTTATTCAACTTGCTCTTGTGTTTTTATGCGATGCTGCAAGAATCATTCAAAGTTTTAAATTATATTTGACATTTTCAGTGACATTAAAAAGTATAGTAAGTATAATAAGTAGAGTTGGCTTAAAAGTATTAGAATGCACTAAGAAGTGTAGTAAAAAATAAGTATAATTAAATATAACTATCAGTAACTGTTTGCTGAAGCATTTTCTTATATTAGTAATAGTCCATAATGTTAAAGCAGAATGAAGAAGGCTTATAATTAATAATTCATTGTTGTGAAAAAGATAACTGGAGGCTGGCAATGGAGCATGAAATGCAGTCATTAAAAGAGAATTGTACATGGATTTTGAAAAATTTACCTGAAAATAAAAAAGCAATTCCCTGTAATTGGGTGTATAAACTCAAAACCAATCCAGATGGTTCAATTGATAAATACAAAGCTCGTTTGGTAGTGAAGGGTTATTCACAAAGAAAAGGTGAAGATTATGAACAAACGTTCAGTCCAGTAGCTAAAGGTGGTACGATAAGAGCCATTATAAGTATAGCTGCTAGTAAAAACATGTCACTTACACAATTCGATGTCTGTACTGCATTTCTGTACGGTACTCTAGACGAAGAAGTATACATGAAACAACCAGAAGGCTATGATGATGGTAGTGGTATGGTTTGTCATCTCCAGAGAAGTTTATATGGATTAAAACAGGCACCAAGGTGTTGGAATAAGCGTTTTGGAAACTTTATAGATTCGCTTGGCTTTAAACGAAGTACTGCAGATCCATGTTTATTTATTAAAATCGAAGGAAAAGACATGTTAATATTAGTGCTGTATGTTGACGATGGTCTAATAGCATGTACAAATGAAATAATGAAGATGAATTTTTTGAAAAAGCTTCAGGAGAAGTTTAAAATAACAGTTAAACCAGCTACATATTTCTTAGGTTTGGAAATCGAAAGAAATCAAGACGACTCCATAAGTATTACCCAGTCAGCTTATACAAGAAAGGTGCTAGAACGTTTTGGCATGGAAAATAGCAGACCGGTCTCGACCCCGATTGTAAAAGAAGCTATCCAATTAGGGAAGGAAACTAGTGAAATAGAATCGAATACTTGTTTTCCATATCGCGAAGCTGTGGGTGCTCTTATGTACCTAATGACGGGTACACGTCCAGATATAGCTTATTCTGTTAGTGTTGTATCCAGGAAATTAGAAAATACAAGTCCAAACGACTATGGAAAAGTTAAGAGAATATTCCGCTATTTGAATGGGATAATAAATTATGGCTTAACTTATATGCGAAAGCCAGATATACAACCTAAGTTAACAAGCTATAGTGATGCTGATCATGGAGGTGATATAATAACCGGAAGATCGACATCTGGGGTATTGTGTCTTTATGCTGGAGCAGCTGTATCTTGGTTTAGTCAGAGACAAACATCAGTAGCCATATCGACAACAAAGGCAGAAATAGTAGCTGCAAGTGACGCTGCACGAGAAATAGTTTGGTTAAAAAAGAATATTTACGGAATTAACCGGCGTTAGCTTGGTTCCGACACTACATGTCGACAATGAATCAGCCATACGATTAACGCAGAATCCCGAGTTTCATCGCCGGACTAAACATATACATATTAGACATTTTTTTGTTAGAGAAATGGTATTGGATGGATCACTTGAAGTAGTAAAGGTGTCATCTGAAAATCAGTTAGCGGATGTTTTGACGAAGCCGCTGTTTTCAAATAGAATGAAAAAATTACTTTTTGAAATCGGATTGGAAAATTACTCAATGAGGGAAGGTGTTAAAGCAGAATGAAGAAGGCATCTACGTAATTTACCATCCTATGTTGTAAATAAGTTAATGAGTTAAGTTTTGTAGTTTAGACAAGCATAAATGTCAATTTTGATGGAAATAAAATAACAATAAGTCACAGTCATTATTTTATTACAAGGAAGTTTTTTCTAGTTAGACGATCTAATATTATTAACAATATTAACACATAATACTCGGATCAGTATTAAATCACTTATATAAAGTATATATAATACTAATAAAGCCATTAAATACTGAAAAAGTAGAAACGTTTCATTTTTTGCATGTCATGAAATTTTACTATATGCAAAACATATAACCATAGTATATTTCGTTTCCACAGTACTTCCCATGTGACTTTTTTCACATTTTTTGTTTTCCTCCCCACATCCTTTCTTTCTCCGCTCTCCTTGCTCTTCAACAAATTGTTTAATCTCCTCATTATCTAAGTTTCACTAGCATAGTCAAGATTTTTTTACTGACTTTTTTTACTTAAAATTTTGACTTGTTCTACTTATCCATTCTACGAGGATTGCCAAGTTTTTACAAAAAGTGAAAAAGAAACAGACACGTAAACAGTGTTTGATTGCTTTTCAAAATATGTGCCTTTCATTTTTATACATTTTTACATATTATTTATTCTTCTTCTACTGTTTGCAGCAGTTCTGAAGAGTTCTATTGTTGATTTCCACTCCACAGATTTATATTTTTTAACCAGGACTCGCGTCGCCTCCCCAGTTCTTTTTCTTTCGACTTTCTCTTGTATAACCAATCGCTTCAACTCATATTTTTCATTTCTTAACCAAGGTAGCTCAGTTTTCTTTCGTTCAGTGTTAAGTATTTTTTTTCCTTTTCATCTTTCCTAATGTTTCCGTGTTTTGTCCATGATATTTTCCACATTGTTCAATAACACCACATCTCAAAGCTTCTTCTTGACTGGCTTTACAACTCTGAGTGAGTCTTAACCACATCCACTATAGTCCTCAATCTTCTATGATCTTGCGCTTCCATTTCCCGTTGTTGTACCCTGTCTTCCTCTGATCTTACCACATGGCCTGCCCATCTTATCTAGTTAGCTTTTATGTCTTATGATGTTTTCAGTACCATAGGAAGTAATCAAATCAGCATTGCAGCGCCTTCTCCACTCTCCTGTCAATTCATCTCTTTTGAAATCCAAATATCAATCTAAGAACTTTCCTTTGAAATACCAGCAGCTTATTTATTTCACACTTATATAGAGCCCATGTTTCTCTTCAATATGCAACAATTGGGCGAATAATTGATTTGTACAGTCTTAATTTAGATATTTTTTCTAGCAGCTTACACCTTAATAATGATGATAGGGAGTATAATGTTCTATTTCCCGCAGTTATTCTTGAAGACCTCTTTTTCTATGTGGTTGTCATCTGTGATTACCATCTCCAGATATTTAAAACTCTTACTACTTCCAAGTTATGGTCCTTAATAGTTATGTTCTGCCTAACTCTTGGTGTTGGGAATATAAATCGGAGAGTTTGCCATGAGTTAGATCTGATAAAGCCAAGAGACAGAAATATGCATATCAGCGAATGGTGATACACTGCAACGAAATCAAACCTAAACCGTCTATGTTACTCCTGGTCTTGCAGTTTTGGTTACTAGACTGTTTTTCGTCTTCTCTTCATTTATTCGAAGACCCAGACTACCGGTTTCCTCGAGTTATGAAAACTCCTCTTTCACGTCTCTTGTAGAATGAGAAACTGCATCTATATCATCAGCAAAGACCAACAATATTTTTGATCATCGATTCGCAAATCCCCCTGTCCGCTCAGACGATATTTTACTTATTGCATAGTCTAAGGCTAAATTGAATATCAATGGTGATAGCTGATCTTCTTGTCTAAGTCCTGATTTTATACTAAATGACATTCATGTTCTGTTTCCTATCTTTACCTGTGTATATGAGTCTGTCACATCTGTCTGTGCATATCTTGCGAATACGGAGTGAGCCTCCCTTCCTAATTCTCCAGGCTTAAACTCCAAATAAAAGGGTAGAGAATATGCAGCATCTCAAACTCTAGTTCTAATTTCTATTCCCAGTTTTCATTGTATAATACAGCTTTTATCTAATTGAAAACGCTTCTGGCCTTATCAATTAGTCGTTTTATTGGGAACTATTATGATGAGATTATTTTTTAATCAATAGAGGAAGCTGCAAACAAGCATCTGGGCAAATACCAGGAGAAAATAAAAAAATGAACGGTATAACCAGAAATTTAAGGAAATAACAGCAAAAAAGAAAGATTTAAACGAAAAAGATAGAAAATGTTATGAACAATTAAGAAAGATTGCTAAGGTAATTATAAGACTAAATAAAAGAAGGTCGGTAGAAGAAAAATACAAAAAAGAACAGGAAAACAAATAGAAACACGATTTTTGAAACCAAAAAATACAAAGGTAAAACAAAATAGAATAAAACATATTGAGGGAATAGTTATAATAGAGGACAATGAATATAAGCAAGTATGGGCAGATCACCAAAGAGAACTCTTGACGGATTAATATACTGGAAAAGAAATGATCGAGGACAAGGAAATGGTGGATGAAGAAGAGGAAGACGAAGTAGACATCGAAATCTCAAAAAAGCCAACAGCAGAGGAACTGGAGGAAGTAATATGAGGAGCAAAAATGAGCTTCAGATAAAGACGACATTAACTACAGAGTAAGGGAGCTGAGGGAAAAAATGATATTGAAAAATATATTTAAAGAAGAGAAGATGAAACAAAGTGTTTGATTGCTTTTCGAAGTATTCGACTTTAATTTCATTACATTTTTATATTATGCTCAAACTAATTATGGAAACAATTTTTCTACTCTAAAGCTGATATCGTAGAAACATGGTTTGGAAAGGCATCAACAGCTTCTTGAGATGATATAAATCGACGCATCTTTTGTTTGGAAGTGGTAAAAAGGAAGTTATTAGGTGATATACAAAGATTCTCATAGCAAGTTGTCTGTAACTCTTTCAAGACATAAAATTGATGCTTTCTACTTTTACACATACTTTTATCTGCTTTTTAATCACATTCTATTTATTCTGCTCATTCAATAACTAGTGAAAATTGAATTGACTAAAGTCTGTACTAAAGTTTTTTTTTAAATGGAGAGAATTTCAACTTTATTTAACCTTCACATTCCTGTTACCATTATAATATCTTGCTATGTAATTGCCATACTACATTTTTAGTAACAACTTTTAATATAGACAAAAAAAATATAAAATTAGTTTTTTCACCAACTGGACTCGTTGGCGCAAGCGTATGGCATTTATTTACCACTGTAATCATATCAATAACCTATAATTTTTGTTATTGGTTGATCTTTGTTTGATTACTAAAAATAGACAGACAACAGAACAGACATAGAAATTTAGAAAAAAAAAGTGTTTGGTCCATGATATAAGGAAACAAGGTATGCTCACTAGGTGGACTCGTTTTTGCACATTTCTGCGCCGACCAAAATCCACCATCTTTTCAATATGTCACATGCGTGTAGGGATGGTGACCTGATCCCGTACCAGTTACTTTGGAACATGTATTTTATTTATACTTGTGGAACTTATCCATAACACCAATATATTTTAATAAACGAGTACAGGTCATGGATGTATAAATAAAGATCTTTATTTATACGTCCATGGTACGGGTACTGTACTCATAGTAAGTGTAAGTGAGCATACCTGACCTGATCCACAAATACTTGGATCAACCACCTCTACATGCGTGACGTCTGATTTGTTTACTTTTGCATTTTTAACCTTACTTTGCAATGTATTGGAATTTAAAAGTAAATGTGTTTTTTGTTTTGTTTCGATTTTTTAAAAATTAGTTTAGCAAGGGTCTGTTCAGATCATTCTAAATATGAATTCATTGGATTAATGTACAATATCAATTTTATTTTATTTTATTTAACTACGATATTTCGTATCAATTTTGTACATATTTGAATTGCCGCCTTCAAAATGGCGGATTTTGGTCGTAAACGCGATTGGCTGTTCAAAAAAGATGCGCGTGAGCATACCATGTTTCCTTATATCATGGTTTGGTCCAAACAGAAACATGCGCCAAGGGAGAAAAATTCTAGTTCTCAGAGAATGAAGTGGAAATCGAAATGTTAAAATAAACTTATTTTAAAGTAAAATTGTGGCATATTAGAGATTAAAATAGTAAATTATAGTGGATGTCACAAAAAAATAGCTTCAGAACAATATTGTTGAGTTACATACAATCCAGACACATTTGTTTTTATATGTATGTAATCTATTGCTCCAAGGACACTCAGAAATCTTGACGTTTGGTAGAAATTATTTTGTACCTTACTTAATTCACTGAGTTTCTGTGGTATTTGTATAAACCGAGGACGTAAGAGAGCAATCTAATGAGACAATTTTCTTACAATGTACCAGACAACTGCCTTCAAAACATTCAAATGATCACCAGTACATATTTAAAATGATCCTGAAGCATAAAAAAATGAAAAGCAATTAGCAATTGATTTCGCACATTGATTGTTCCGTTTTGTTGATTAGAGGATGCATACATTTTTAGATAATCTAAACCTAATTTTAAAAAAGCACATTATCCAATTCAACAAAAGTGTTCTCTGCAGCAACAATCTTTGTTTAAAAATTTTATTTAAAAAATCCTTTATAAAAGATATAACATAAAAGAACTCATTCAGGCCACATCACATCACATAACATTTTTGCAATGACTATTCCATCATCAGTGTTGATCTAAGTTTACATGTTTGAAGCCACTAAATATCTGGATGAAAACCCTTTAAATATAGTTGAAGTAATTTTAAGTTATATTGTTGCTAATAATATTCTAGGATGTTTAAGATATAAAAGGAATTTACTTCATGGTAATGTAAGACTCCAACACTGGGGTTGCTGACCCTTAGACAAAAGCCACTTTTGACTTTTTTTTATTAAATAAATATAAAACATTATTATTATTTTTTTCTAACAGTTTTTTTAATACTTTATATTGAATTCAACATGAAATTAAAATAGGTAATATTTTTAAGATTAATTTCTTTTTCAAGCATGCCTATTTCCAAGGTTTTTGAGGTTTTGAAATAAGTCTTTTTGCAAATGAAAATTTTTTAATAAAAATTATATTAGATAATAGATAGCCAATAGATCATTCCAGGGCAATTTTGTGACATTATCATTATTTAAAACACACAATTAGAGTCTAAAAATATTGATTCAGAATTTAAAAATTTTGAATGTTTTTGAATCATCAATTTTACAAAGGTAAACAAGAAACACAAACAGAACAAAAACATTTGAGATATGGCTTTTTAATGTAAAAAATATAAACAAACATCTTTTGAAGACATCTTTAAATTGATGGTTTGGAAGAAAATTTGACAATAAACCTATAACAAATAAAACAACTATGTATAACTAGACTCCTTATTAGCAACAAAGAATCTAGTTATGTGGTTATATATTCTCAGAACAGACAACCACAGAATATATAAATTCTCTACCTAAGAAAATCTAATAATTAAACTCTTCCACACATTACAGAACCACTAGTCCAAACAGAAAAATACACTAATGTGATAAGGTAGAGAGTTTAAGAATTAAAAAAGATATTCGTAACAATTTCATATTTAAATACTGCTAAACCCATAAATTGTTTTACTGATGATCATCTGATAGGACTAAAAATGTTTTGAAAATTTCCTTTGGATACTTTTTTTTAAACCATAGTACTTATATAGCCAACCACTAGGAATATTCAATTTTAAAGTTTTTTTGTTTTGACATTTTATCATAAGGATTATTTGCCAAATAATTAAAAATATTTTATAAGTGCCACTAAAACTGTAATTTTCATTTAAAGTGGTAACAACAACTGTGTTGATATTATAATGTATGAACATAAACATAAAAGGTTACAGAAACCCAAAATATGCTGGCCAAAATGTGTATGGAAAAAACAATATCATTTATTATAATAATAGCTGGACCTTATTATTGCACAATGGAATTTTCCAACCCACTAATAGATAAACCACAAATGAATTTCATATAATCTCATCAATGCAAACACATTTTAATTCAACTTCTTTTATGCCTTTCTCAGCTCTGGAATAAAATTTGTTATTGTAATAATGTCAATAGTACTTCAAATAATTATAATAGAACTTTATATATTAAAGGAAAATGTATCTAAAGAGCACAACTCATAAGGACAATGTGTTTTTTTCCATAAAAATATTGAATAATTTTTAATATATATTTTTCAATGCAATTCTTATCTTCATGAATATTTATTGTTTATTACAACTGTTTCTAGGAATAATTACAATACAAAACTAGAATATAAGTTATGACATATAGAAGACCTGAGAAAAATCAAACTTCGATAAGGAATCTCCAGGAAGAGCCCTAACATTCAAATCATGAAACTTTCACAAAATTAATTGTACTAATGAATAACTTTCAATAATAAGAAACTAAATTAGTTTATTGTTACTGAGAATATTGATTTAATACACCAAATGATATGGAAGAGTTAACTTGGTGTTCTAAACATAGAAAACATTTGTTAGAATAATTTACCAAAACCACAATGAAGTAAGCCTAGTACGAATAAAAATAGTGACTAAACACTAAACTAATACCAATAAGATCCTTATAAGCTTACTTCACATAACTACATCAAAAGTGTTTTGCTAGATTTACAGTATTTGAAAAGATATGTGATAAATTCAAATAAAATCTTATGAATTTAGATTTTAATTTTATTAAAAATATATTGTATGTTCAGCAGTATGATGCAGAAACATTGTATCTTATCCAAGCAGCTAAATCAAAATTAGTATCAGTGAAACAAAAAATTTCCATGTACAATGTAACTACACAAATAGTGAAAGATAAATAAACTGAAAGTAGAAACCAGGCAAACAGATTTGCAGAGACAAAGCCTAGGAAAAATTAATATAATATTAATATGTAGATGAGAGGGCTAGGTGACAATTCCAAGTTACATTTTATCTATAATCATATAATCTGCAATCTCACCAGCACAAGTAGGTACTGTTCTTGGTTATTGGTATTGCTTTTCATAATAATTAGTATAACCAAGTAAAAAATAAGACTACACAATTCTAAGTATTAATTAGAACACTCTTAATTTCTACTAGTGAGTCATGAATAAATAAATAAATGCTATTTTGAGGTCACAATGAAAAGTGATTCCCACTTTTTCATTATAAAAAGAATCAGGTATTTCATATCCTAGTATCCCTTTTTTATTATCACAATTAAAATTAGCTCTTTCATAAGTTTTAGTCATTACACCTATTTAATCTCAATTTTTGTTTCACAAAGGAGGCGAATCCATTTTACAAACATTATATGACATTGGTATCAAAATGAAATAAAACTATTAACGACGACCAACCAACTACAAATGGTAAATTCGTAGAAAAAGCTGAAGTAATTTTTTTGTCTAAACCTACCGAAAATACACTCCATCGCATTCGCATGCACTTGATTTGTTTCTTTTAGATTGGGGATTATAAATAAATGGGCCAAAAATACTAACGAAAATGAATAATTTTGTTCTACACTGTTAACTTTATAACTTGCAACACGAACGGCTGCCTTGAGTAGCCAGCCAGCGATCACAGCGAACTCCCGTTTACACCACACAAACGTCTCCAGACCTGTTTTCCAAAACCAGTTTACGACTTATTTCAAAACATACAAATTTATAATATTATAAATATAATACTAAAATGCTACTTGCCTGTATTTTATCCACTGATTGATTCACAAAAACATATGATCCATAATGCACCATTATTTTTCCAGTTACTACTATGATAAGCAAGTTTTACAATAATAAAATCCTATTAGAGACATCTACAAACTTATGTAGTAACTATGTAAAGGAGTTCTCTAGTGTCGTTACAGAAAACTGTATTGCTAAAGCAAGCTGTATGGATTTTTAGTGAGGTTTCGCCCATTGTGTGTAGGTGAAAGCATAGACACTACTATTTATTTATAGACAATAATCCATTGTAAAATTCTTAACATTTTTTATGTCTTCCATATATTTATAAAAAAAAGGAATAAATGATGTCGATGGAATACATCATGATGTTCTTTTTATTTCTCAGGAAAATATGTACCTAACCAAAAACTGTCCTGGAAAGAGGATATTTATCATATATCCAAAAAAATCGAAAACAATATAAGCATGATAACAGCTTTTTATCACGCAAATCGGGGAGTGGAACCAAATATAGTACATTTATTTTCCACAAAGCATTCATTAGTTATATGATATTGTGATAGGTATAGCAGTCTAACTTAATTACAGATACTTGAACGAATTAAAATAAATAGGTAACTTGCGTTGGCGACTATATTATGCCTCGGTACTTTCCGTCATACTTCAACAGATGTATTAGAGCTCTAAGCAGCTGAATTAGTCCAGTCGTCAGAGATTTGACCCCCTAAAAATCATACGAACAAGCTGAATTTTGCCGAGAATATCAATTTGGGAACCCCAAAAAAGATCCTAGAAAGTTTATCACTTTTACCTCTGGGCTTCCTCCTAATAACCCCCTCGCAGGAGGGTAGAGGAAGTGGTCCGAATATGAGCCCTGCACTTATTATGGGCCCCCAATATATTTCAACTAGAGCACGTCGCGACATCTATGAATTTCGTACTAAAATACTTCTACTAGACCCCCAAACATTTTTCTGTTTATGCACGCAGTCTCGTGTATATCTCTGTACTAACAGGTGACATAAGTTTATTTGTGTAGTTCAACAAATATTTTACGGTAAGTGTTTTTGTGCTATTTATCAACGTTTATGTTTGAAACTGGAGAGTTGATGTGTTAGTATGTTAGAAAAGTGATCAGTATTTGATATTCCATCATAAAAACTAACCTAATAATGAATTGAGAAGAAATTGAATGCTTTTAAATAATCAGGTGGAATGTTGTTAATATGGGCCCCTACCGTGGTCCTATTATGGGACAGAGCTCATATTCGGACCAAGTCTTAATAAAGTGTTTTTTTTGCAGTTCATTATGCCACGAAGCAAACCGAAGTTTTTTTCAAAGAACTTAAGACAAACATGGAGACGTGAAGATATGGTTAAGGCTATGGACAGTGTTAATAACAAAATAATGGGTCTTAAAACTGCAAGCAAACAGTTCAGCGTGCCACGATCTACACTTCAAAGACTGTTAAAAAAACAAAAGGAAGGTAATTTAAATATTAGTGACGTAGTTAAAACTCAACTAGGAAGAAAGACAACATTAGGAAAAGAACTGGAGGAAGAACTTGTCCAATATGTTTTGTCCATGGAAGCTACTTACTATGGTCTCACAAGAAAGGACATTAGAAAAATGGCATATGTCTTAGCTGTTCGTAATGGAATAGCTCATCCATTTAAAAATGGTGTGGCGGGGAGAAGCTGGTTGGATGCATTTTTACTACGTCACAAAAATGTACTTTCTATTCGAAGACCAACAGGAACTTCCTTCGCTAGAGCATTAGGCTTCAATAAGGAAAATGTGGAGCAATTTTTTGACAATTTGCAGAGTGAATACTCAAAAAATAAATTTTCGCCTCACCAAATTTACAATGTAGATGAGACTGGGCTTACAGTTGTTCAAAGTAAGGTGGCATCAGTGGTGGAAGAAAAGGAAAACGGCAAATTGCTTCAATTACCTCAGCCGAACGGGGTTCACTAGTTACGTTTATAGCTGCAATGAGCGCTGGAGGTCAATTTGTACCGCCCATGTTAATTTTCCCGAGAAAAAATCGCAACGAACAGCTGATGCGAGGGGCTCCTCCAGGTTCAATCTACGCAGTACATCCAAGTGGGTGGGTGCAACAGAATTTGTTTTCCGATTGGATGAGGCATTTCATAAATTTTGTTAAACCAACAAAAGAATGTCCAGTTCTGCTAGTGTTAGATGGCCATTATAGCCACACACGAAACTTAGAAGTTATTCGACTAGCTCGTGAAAATCATATTTCCATTATCTCTTTGCCGCCTCACTCAACTCATAAATTACAACCCCTTGATAAAACATTCATGGGAAGTTTCAAGGCTTATTACAGTGAGGAAATTAGAAATTGGCTTCGTGTTAACCAACGAGCCCTCACACAGTTTGACTTGGCAGAACTTTTAGGTAAAGCCTTTTTAAAATCACAGTGTGCCGAAATAGCTGCTAGTGGTTTTAGGGCGACGGGAATATATCCGTTCAACCGTCACATTTTTTCTGAAGCAGATTTTATATCTGAACGAATTCAGGCTGAGAAAAACTGCAACATTTTGTCTCAAGCCTCGCCTCAAGCGCGGCCTGTCACAACAGAACCCCAGCATGGTACCCCAGAACCTCAGCCAGGATGTTCTTTTTGGGAAGATACAGCTAAATTACAATCACAGGCAACATCTTCGCCGTCAAATTCCAATTTCTCTAGACCATCTGTTCCAGGAATGGAAAATTCCGTTAAATTGGTCTCACCATTTGACATTTCACCTGTACCTTCCGTCACAAAGAAAAATACCACTCGGGAAGAAAATCAACTAAATCGCAAGTGATCACCTCTTCCCCCTACAAGGATGAGTTAGAGAAATCCTGCACCAACACGCCTAAGAAAGCAAGCACCAAACGACAAGTCTTTTCAAAATCAAAAGCAAAGAAGACAACTAACAAAAAAAGACAGCAAGCAAAAGACAATAAAGTCAGCGACTCTGAGGATGAAAGTCACGAGTTTGTCCCAGACGATGAAGATATGGATATCGACGAAATTGGCAAATCTGTTCCTGACGGCTGTGATGCAGTATGCCTATTTTGTGATGGTCGCTTTTCCGATGACCAGAGAGGAGAGTTATGGATTCAATGCTTCATGTGCAATCAATGGGCTCACGAACAATGTTCAGGTGCCGAAAAAGATGCATATATTTGTGACTTTTGCGTGTAATATGTGGTTTTTAAGTTGAAATGTATTTTCATTTTCATTTTCAGTTTTTTTTATTTGAAAAATATATGTTTTTTTCAAATTGTTAGATACCTATCAATTATTTTACTAGGGGGCCCATATTCCACGCAGTCTAATCCAAAAGTAGATCTGTACATAATTTAAGTGTTGACACAAATTCCACCTAAATTTAATTTTTTTGATAATGCCTTTTTAATATACCATAAGGTAAACCTTTAAGCTTGTAGTGTGTAATTTACTGGATATTTATTCGTAACTTTCAAAAATTTATACAAAAAAAACAAATGGGGGGCTCATATTCGGACCACTTCCTCTAAAAACGCAAAAAAATCTATTTACCTAGAAACTGTACGTTGTAAAAAAAATGTAGCTGAGATAACTTTGAACAAAAATATTAATTACTACTTTTTGTGTAGAATGAACCGTTCTCCCAGAAACAACCGACGATTTTGAAAGTCAGTTGTGCGAGCGAAATCAATGTTATATAAAACGTGTATCAAGTTGACGGTAAAAAATCAGCTTTCGTTAGCTATTCTTGTATTTTTTCGCAAATGAAGTCAGTTTCTATAAGTCAGGGCATAAAAAGTAAAAAATATATGAGTCCGCTAGATGCAAAACTTTGTATTTACTGTATAAGTCAAACTGAGTTATTTACAAAAAACTGATAAATTTTGCAAAAAACCTTAGACATAATAAATGGCACTTTTTTGTGATAGATAATAGTATATTACATAACGAGAGTTGTAAGAAGCTTATTACATGCGAGTAAAAAAGTTGCGCGCGAGCCGCGTAGCGGCGAGCGCAGTAATTTTACAAGCATGTAATAAGCTTACAACTCAAGTTGTGTACTATACTTTTTCTACCATTATGTTCGTTTATAAAAATAAAAATTAAATTACCACTATATTTACACTGACAGATTAATAATTTTTAATCTGTCAAAATAACGTCTGTTTATTCGTTTCCATGGCAACTCGACCAACTGACTTACAAGGCTTATGTGATATTACACATTTTTATAAAACTGAAGCGTAATTTTTTTTATTACGTGCTAGTCATTACGTGTCAGTATCTGTTATGATGCATTTACTTAGCATCCCAATAGTAGGTAATATACAATTTACTAGTAAGAGAGTAGAAAAATGCTTTATTAGGTAAAATATAATGATTTTTTTCCTGGAAAAGTTATTGGGTTTGCTAGAAAAGGAAGAAAAATTTTAAAATACCGAGTTTTGCAAGTGAACTATGTAAATACAGATTTATGCAACTAACATTTGAAAATACATGATAATAGTCAACCATTAACGATATTAGTGATTGTTATATTAGTCTGTTTTCTAAACCTAGTGTGTTAGCAATAAGGAAGAAAGCATGTGAAAGTAAACTTTTAGTGAAGTTTATTTTTATCCAAAGTACAAAAGGTATTACAAATTATAATATGTATATATTTATATTAATTTCTAAACTCTAAGTTCCTCTGGATCCTCATCATCAATATGATCATTTTCTGCAGCACTCTCGTTATTATTTGCATGTATATAATTTTATAAAATTTGAGATCCGGCTGGTCTCTCCAATTTTCACCAAAATGGTTTCTAAGGAGAGTGCCTATGGACGATTTATCTCCTTTCAATGAACATCCAATCTGTTGTAACTTTGGTTTCAATAAAGAAATCTTTTTCCCTTTTCGTATATAGACTTGCTGAACCCTATGTCAGAACGATAAAATATTTCCCCCCTTACCGTAGCCATATAATCTTTGTCCTTAGAAAAAATAAATCGTTTCGTTGCATTACATTTAAAATGCCACTGGGAAGAAGGTTTTTTAACAAC